CAAAAATTTCTCATGGAAACTAATAATAATTCAATTGTGTCAAGCGATTCTACATCAAGCCAAGAAATATCTAATATCAAAGCTCAAATCAATAATAAAAAGTTTACATCAGCAGTTTGGAATAATTTTACTTTGATAAAATTCGCTGATTCTAGTCCAAATAAGGCAAAATGCAATCATTGTGAAAAAAGATTTTCTCATAAACGTTCTTCAGGCACTTCACACTTACATCGGCATTTAAAAACTTGTAAGAAATATAAAATAACTACTGCCAGATCAAGCTCTTTGGATGATCATCATGATAAAGACAATCAAATACAATATACATCAAATCAAGCTAAAAGTTGGGTTTATTCTGAAGAAAGAAGTCGAACTGATTTAGTCAATATGATTATTAGAGATAAATTAAGTTTCCAATTTGTTGAACATACTGGATTTTTAAAGTTTGTTTCAGGATTACGACCTGATTTTAAAGTTTGCAGTGCTGATACTATTAAAAGAGATAGTTTAAAATTTTATCAAGATCGAAAGGATTTTGTTAAAAATATTCTTCAAAATATCGTTAGCTGAATATCTTCAACAACAGATATTTGGACCTCACAACAACAGCTTAGTTATATTTCAGTTACAGTACATTTTATAAATAATAATTGGGAGCTTGTAAGTTTTCTAATGTCATTTAAATTAATACGTTTTCCACATACTGGAATAAATATTGCCAATTCAATTAAAGATAGTATAGATGAGTTTTTAATTACAACAAAGGTATATATTTTTTATTTATTATTTATTATTATTTAATTTAAAGCTAACATTTATATTTTTTAAAGTTACAAACTATAATACTTGATAATGCTTCTTCAAACAATGTTGCTATTCAAGAACTCAAGAAATATCTTATATCTCTTTCAGTTGATTTCAATATTGAACTTTTTCAAAACTGTTGTCTAGCACATGTTATAAATCTTATTGTTCAAGATGGTATTAAAAAAATTTCAAACATTATTAAAAAGGTAAATATTAAATACTGTATATAATTATAATTATTTAATATAATTATTTAATAAAATTATATTTTAATAATAATTACTATAGGTCCGTGATTGTATTAAAGCAATTCATACTTCACCAAAGTGTCGTCAAGCTTTTATTGATGCCTGTAATTATGAAGTTATCGATACAATTATATCTCCACTTGACTGTATTACCCGATGGAATTCTACTTTCCATATGTTGAATTAGTGTTTTGCAAAATGGATCTGAAGATCCGGATCTAATCCGGATCCACAATTTATAGGATCTGTCGAATTCAGATCCATAGATAGATCCGACCAGATAATATCTGATTTGGATCCGGTAGAATATTATGGTTGCTAATTTTTTTCAAGTTACAGCTATTATTATAACTTCTGAAACACCAAGTTATATATTTTAGGAATAATAAGATTCAAGGTGACTAATATCTATCACAACAAGGTTTATTCTTTGGTTTTTGCTTAAACGAAGCCTTTATTCATTTCTAATTATATTTCTAATTTCTTGTCAAAGACGAAAAATATATAAACAATATAAACATATAAAATTTTTTACCTAGATTTCATTTATCATAATTTTTCATATATTCTCAACAAATATTGATAATATCTTGGTTGCTTGAAATCCTAACCTGAGATTCATTTTTAAACCAGTCAATTATATTTACCTTTTTTAATAGTGGCACCTGTTCGAGTAATATATTTGTTATAAAAGTCTAATTTATATTCAATTCCTTCTTGTTAAGGTTTATTGATTGACATGAACAGTTTTTCTATGAATTTCCATACAAACTAAAATACTAAACATTTTTGGACAAGCATTCGAATGAAAATTTAAAAGTTAACATTATTGTCATGACAATTGTAAAATGATCAGGATATGATACAAAAATAGCTTATGGATCTATGCTAAATCAATAACTTAACCGGATCAGCTTAAAAATCACCTGGCAAATTTTTTATCAGGTGTTTCAGAAGCTATCATTATGATAATAGCTGTAACAGATTGAAAAAATGGCTAAGCAAAAAAATGCAAAATCTGGTTCAGAAATGCGGCTATTAATCATGCCATGAGAAGAGTATATAAAAGCAAACAGGTATAATTTCTTTAAAAATTTATAATTAATTGCTTTATTTGGGTATTACTAATAATAGCTCTGATTGTTGGGAATTATGATACTAGTCCCAGTTTATACATTAATTGACGTTATATATTCACATGCGTGCAATGCTTTACTTTTTTTTTATTAAGATAATCTCTCAAAGAACATATATTCAACCTTGTACTTTTTTTTTGTTTATTTAAACGTATGAGTTTGATTTTTTTTTTCCCATTTTATTAGGGTTTTAGCAAAATAACTCTTTTTTTTAATCTTACGCTATTTTATTTGAATCACTGTCACGTTATGATGGCAGAATTTGATGAATTTGATGAATATGAACTACCTTCCTTATACCAAGAAACACATGGAAACAGGCAATACCCATATGAATCAGACCCGGATGAACTATATGTATATGAATCATATTCAAATAAATCATATCAAGATGAATCATATCCGGATGATTTATATCAGGATGAATCATATCCAAGCAAATCATCCCAAGAAGAGTTAGACAAAGGCAAATCATCTCAAGGCAAATCATGCCCAGATGAGTCACTATTACAAACAGAACCTGTAGAATGCGATGAAACTCCTGCAAATACCAAGTAATTGTATACAAAATGAAGTATATTAATTTCAAGTATTTCTTATTTATTAATTTTTATTTTATTTTGTAGATCTATTGTGTGGAAGTATTTTAAAAAGCAGAAAGATGGTAAAAGTGCGAAGTGTGATATTTGTAAAAAGCTATATGCTTATAATCAGAGGACAACATCTAATTTTAAAAAACATCTCAAACTGCATAAGAGCAAAGTGCCTAAATTGTATAAACCAAAAGTAAAAGAGAGTGTCACCGTTCTAGATATGTTAAATCAAAATCGTCAATATGAATCCTTTAATCAAAAAATTTACTAGTCTTATTAAGAGTTGGGTTATAAAACGTAATCGATCATTTCAAATTGTTGAAGACGATGAACTTAGATTGATATTTACTTATTTAGAACCCCGTGTAGTAGGTAAAAATAGTTTTTAATAATAAACTATAATAATTAATAATAAAAATATAAATAAGGTATAATATTTATGAGTTTTTACAGTACCTTCTGCTGATCTTGTTAAAAGACAAATTACAAATAATTTCGAAAAAGAACGTAAATGGCTTCAACAAAAATTGCAGGAAATTCCTGGGCGTATAGCAATTACAACAGATATATGAATGACCTCTAATAATGAAAAATAGTTTATGGCTATCACAATTCATTACTTCGATACATCATGGAAAATTAAGCATGTTCTCCTTGACTTTATTTTTATGGAAAAATTGCATACGGGTGCTGCAATTGCAAGCACTATGGAAGATTGTCTTCAAAAAAATAAAATTATTTCAAAATTAATTGCAATAACTTGTGATAATGTGTCTTCTAATATAAAATTTTTGAGTATTTTTTCTAATTCTTTGTCACTAGCTGGTTTTCATTTCAACAGTACACAGCAATCAATGCGATGCTTTGGCCACGTTTTGAATTTTGCCATCCAAAGTATTTTGAATATCGTAGGAGATGAGTTAGAAAAGGTGGTTATTAATATATTAATAAATTAAGATAGTCCAAATAATGTTTTTTTGCACTTTAGAGATACCATATGTATAACTAGAAATGTATAAATAAATAAATAAAATTTTTTTTGTTAGTTGCGCGAATTAATTAAAAGTATAAGAGGATCATAAATTTGTCACAAAAAATTAAAACTATTCAGTAAATTGAAGCCAATTCTAGACGTAACTACACAGTGGAATTCCACCTTTTATATGTGTAAACAAGCTTTAGAATTGTGAACAGTGTTAGATGCTATGACTTTTGCAGAAGTAAAATTATGTCAATATGTTTTTACTGAAGATGAATAGAAAAAAATAGAACTTCTTATTGAAGTTTTAAAGCCTTTTGAGGATGGTTATTATAAAGTCTAAAACATAATTAAAAAATATATAAAATAAGTATTAATATTTAGTTTTTTAATTTAGTAACCATGTTTATATCATCATCTGAATACCCGACGCTTTTAATAGTCATTCCCCTCTACTATACATTACTTAATACACTTAAAGCAAACAAAAAAAAAGATAGTATGCCAAAATGGCTTGTACAGGGATGTGAAGCTGCAATTAATAAGCTTTTAAATTATTGTCAAAAGACAAATATTTTACATCTTTCAGCAGTTGTACTAGACCCATGGCTTAAAATTAATTATTTTGAAGAACACAAATAGCTGTCTCAACTTATTACTCAAATCAGGAATGAGTATGTATAATTGCTATACAGAAACTTTAAATCTCTTAATGTGCAGTAACTGCATAGTAACTATGTAGTTACAATTAAATTTAATAGTAATTATGTAATTACTATGTCATTACTACGCAGTTACTGCGTATTAAGATATTTAAGTTTCTGTAAAGTGGCAATAAGGGTGATTAGCTGCCAAGAGAAACCTGTTATCAGACTTTTATATTGTACCAGATATACAGTACTTCTATAATTAATATATTGTGTCTAACTATAATTAAAAGCCTGATAGGTTTCTCTTGGCATTACTTAAATAGAAAAATGGGTATTACAATTTTTTCATCTGTCTTCTTTAGTGTTCTGATTGGTCGAATTCATACATGCCATACTTTTTTTCATACAGTTTTTTTTTCATATAATCACATAAATATCTTTTATACAGCAAACAGAATACTGGAAATTAAACCAAATAACACAAAAATATTAAGACATCGTAGAGTAACACATTATTTAATTAGATAAATATGAAGAATTATTTGCACACTTGAATAAAATTATACATAGACATTAAGAAGACAAGGATTTTGTACCTGGTGCAGATGTGCGATCCAAAAATAGCTATGGTCAAATGGAAATAATGATATCGAAAATTGTATTAAAGACTTTTAGCATAAAGCTACTATATATTTTTAAAAAAAATCAAAGTTGCACTTAAAATGTCTAAATCTCAAGATTTTTAGATAATGAAAGAATGACAAGTTACTCACGGTTTAAAGTGCTCTTACATTATTGTATAGAAACCTTATCATAAAATAATTATATATGGCAAAGTTATAAACTTTAATAAAAATGATAACAGTGGAAAGTAAGCTTGTAGAGGATTATAACCGCAAGGAATAGGTAGTTAGAAATGTTTGTATAAAACCAGGTTTTGTATATGAAATATAATATTCAACCAATCAGACTACTTAAGATAGACAAATAGAAATTTTGGTATTATAATTAAATATATTAATTTATATTGTTAATTTAACAGCGTTAAAAATAAATATGAAGATCAATACGCACCTCCTCCTGACCAGGAGACAAGCTCAAGCTCAACTGTAGAGTCACATAAAAGTATAATATCACAGGTCTATAAATGAACACATATGGAACAGCAAAGCAAGTTTGACATATATTTAATGATGCCACTTGTGAATCAACATACAGATATTTTAGAATGGTGGCAGGTGAATGAATCTACTTATCCGAATCTTGCAAAATATACTAGAGATTGCTTTCCAATTCCCGCAACAAGTGTTCCAAGTGAACAGATGTTTAGCATAAGTGGTAATATGATAACTGAGAAAAGAAATCGATTGGATAGAAAGACTGTGCGTGCAGCAATGTGCTTGAGGTCGTGGTGGAGAGAATTAGATTATTAACATATATTTATATATGTAATATCTGAATCAAATTTTTTTTGTTAAGCAAAGATTTGTAGAAATTTTTTTCATATATAATAAAAAAAAACTTTTAATGACTAGTATGTATAAATATCTTGTTTATTATTTTAATTTAATAAAGATTAAGTACATAGAAAAATGTGCATTTTGAAAAATGAAAAAATAGAATGTGAAAAAAAATGAGATGTCAAAAAATGGGACGTCAAAAAAAATGGGACATTGGGAAAAATAGAAAAGAGGTCTTTTTTTTTTTTTTTTTTTTTTGTCTTTTATTTTATTTTATTTTTTTCCTTAATCAATTTTTTTATACTTATCTTTTTTTCTCTTATTTTTCTAACTCACTCTCTTTTTGAATGTATTTTTTTTTTTTTAAGTTTTTTTTTGAACTTTGAGTGACAATATCTCGATAGCGACCAAGTCAAACTCAATAAACGTTTTTTTATTTGAATTCTAATAATGTATAGAATTCAAATAAAAAAAAGTTTATTGAATTTGACTTGGTTACTATCGAGATATTGACACTCAAAGTTCAAAAAAAACTTTAATTTGTATATAGCAAAATAAAAATACGAAATTCCCTATTTTATTTGGCCAAATCTATGGCCAATTTTTGTATATAGAAAAGTGAGAATTGAAGAGGAATCTTGGAAATTTTTATTTGTTAGCAAGGAATTTAGATTTATTCGCAAAAAAGTGCTAAAATTAGGGAATTTTGCCGAATTTCCAAGTGAGAGATGATTGGCAGAGGTCACACTAATTTGAAAAGAGCAATAAATAACTATAATATTTTAGATTTTACAAAGTATTTATCTTTTTTACAAAAAAAAGTTTTAATAATACTTAAAAAAATAGTTAACAAAAGAATAAAAAACAAATATTCGTTAAATATCATTTGGAATTTCCATACCGGCAGATTTACTAAAATTTAGTTTTGATAATCTTTCACTGATTTCCAAAGTATTAAATAGTTTGCTAATGTATATATTTTTTAGCTCTTCTTTAATTATTGTATAATTTTTGTTAATCTTATCACTTTCTAAAAACTGCTTTTTTATTTCATTTTTAGAATTTTCATTCAAAATTTCTAACTATTCATTTAATTTAGTAATAATTTCATTAGTAGTTGGCTGTTTTTTTGGATTTGAATCCATGCATCGATTTGCTAATTCAACATAAAAATTAGGTGTTCCAATTTCAAATTTTGGTCGCAACCCTTGACAAATCATAATCACAAGATCTTCATCAAATTTATGAATATCGAAAAGTCTCAGTCCAGTTGTCATTTCTACTATGATGATTCCAAATGAATAAATATCAGCCGCTTGAATGTACTTTTTTCTTTAAAAAAGTTCAGGAGCGATATAAGGCAGGACACCATGAATCTGATTTTCTTGTTCTTTCTCATCAAGAGGTTTTAATAAACCTAGATCGGTAATATATGCTTCATAATCTTCTTTTAACAAGATATTTCCTGGATGTAAATCTCGATGTAAATATTTTTTCTCATGAATATGATCAAGATTAGATATAATATCATGAAGTATCTTTAATTTTAATTTCTATTCAAACTTAAAGATATCAGAAAGATTTTTGCTTAATGATCCGTATTTTGCATAACTCGTTATTAAAATATAATTTTCTGTTTTTTTGTCTCTTGATATTCCCAAATATTGTCCTAAGCTATGACAAGCTTTTAACTAAAAAAATAAAAAATAAATTATTATATTTAAATTATTTATATAAAAATAAAGATTATATAGTTATTGACAACTATACTATTTTCCTATATTCGTATATTTATGCCATTAATTTAAACTTTCCATTGTTAAAATTTAAGCTACAAAAAAAAAGGTGATGATAAAACAGTGATGATATAAAATACAAAAATAAGAGAATTTTTAGAGCAGTCGTCAATAACATGGTTGCATAATAATAAAAAATATCTTTTTTAAGAATGGTATTCTTATTAGAATCTTTTACGATCTTGATTGCTACTTCTTTATATGACCCTGATTGATTTAAATATTTGGTCCTAAAAACTATAGAAAATGCACCTTTACCTATTTCTGAGATATTTTCAAATTTATCATATGACATCCAATGAAAATATTCTTTTTTTCCTGTAGTAGTCCTAGCTTTTCAGTGATAGCAGATTTTAAATACCATTCGAAAGCAATATCTATATCCTTTTCAACAACATCTCCTTTTCGGTAATATTCACCAACAGAATACATTCCATCAGGATATCCCATCTCTGCTGATTTTTTATAGTATTCGAATGCCTTATGTTCATCTTTTTTGACTCCCCATCCATTTTGATAACACAATCCAACATTATATGTTGCAATAAGATATCCCATTTCTGCTGATTTTTTAAAATATTCGAATGCTTTTTTTATATTCATTTCAACTCCAATTCCATTTAAATAACAATATCCAACATCACTTGTTCCAACAGCATCATTCATTGTTGCAGCTTTTTGATAATATTCAAATGCTTTTTGTTTATTCTTTACAACTCCAAATCCATTTCGATAACAATTTCCAACAAACCATATTCCACGAACATAACCCATATTAGCACTTTTTTGATAATATTCGAATACTTTTTGTTTATCTACTATGACTCCAATTCCAAATTCATAACATCTTCCAATATTAAGTATTCCTGTAGTATCACCCATATTAGCAGCTTTTTGATAATATTCGAATGCCATTTGTTCATCTTTTTCAACACCAATTCCAAATCGATAACATTCACCTAAAGCACATAAATGTCCCAAATCAGCCGCCTTTCTAAAATACTCAAAGGCTTTTTTTCTATCTATTCCAATATAAAGACCTTCAATATATTTTTGTCCAAGTTGATAAAGTTCTTCATTTTTTAATATAAAATGTTTATTTATAATTGCTTAAATCCAAGTTGGTTAATTGAATTAAAACTTTATTGATGTTTTTGTTGTACTAATTTAATATTGCATTATCGTCATGTTGAACTTTTATGTAAAGGGCTTAATTTTCAATAGTAATATTTTTTATATTTAATTCAATCAATTCAAACAGTTCAATGTTCAAGCTGTTAAATTCATACAAGCTGTTCAAAAATATGTAAAATAACTGTGAAAGAACGTACGAACAGTGAATAGACGACAATATATGCAGATAACTGCGAATGGTCGATTGAATACGGATTTGATCATGTGTAATCCGTATTACAGTATTACACGGATTCGAACTGCATAAATTAACATATTTCGAAAATAAGTGGGCGTACAAAATTTTCTATTTCTGGATTGAAAATTTTAAATTAGAAAATGAAATAGGAATTATCCGGAGATAATATTGTTATCATATGATACTAATTCAATTGGTTTAATAATTGGTTTAATAATTGGTTTAACTAGCAATGCTACTGTGCGAGCGACTTCGTCGCCGCTCACAGTTTTGACCCACCTTATTATTATTTTTATAATAATTTGCGAGTTGCTGTAAGAATTCACTGCAGAACTTAGTATGTGGTCAAGTTAGCTTGCATTAGTATTATTGCGATTTCTGTTATACTTAAATATTCTGTTTAAAACTTACTCGCTATTCTAGTGATATACAGTAAGTTTAAGATTGTATTGGAGCTACTATCATAATCTCTATCATGAGTTACTGTAAAAAAACTATTGTGGTACATAGTAGTTAATATTGAATTAGTTTATATTGAATTAGTTTATATTGAATTAGTTTATATTGAATTAGTTTATTTTGAATTAGTTTATATTGAATTAGTTTATATTGAATTAGTTTATATTGTTAGTTTATATTGAATTAGCTTATATTGAATTAGCTTATATTGAAATTATTGTTATTATGGGTCATTGTAAAGAAATTTCGTTACAATGCTTGCTATTCTGGTGACTACAATATGTGGTTAAGGCCAGTTAGTTTTATTGAATTATCATTATTTCTACCATGGGTTATTGTAAAAAAAAATTCTGTTACAGAACTTACTATAGCCACAGTTAATTGAGTTTGTATTAAAATTATCAAAAGAAATTACACCGCATATAAATAAATTAGGTAAAGAGAAGACATAAAATAGTAAATGCTTAATGACAAATAAGTATTTCAGCACAGTCGTTTTCTTTACAGGTCATTGTTTGACATTACACAAAGGGTAATATATATCTACGTAAATGACTTGTAGGAAAAATAACACGCATATTTACAGTGTTAGTTAGCCAGGTTAAAATAGGTGCACATTAGGGCTTAGTATTTCTACCATAAGCTATACCAATCAGATATATTATTTAGTGACAATAATAGTTTCAGGTGACACTATACATAGAGAATGTACAATACATTGTCTACTTTTTTTATTACACATTACACTACACAATCAAACAAATCAAAAAAAGATCAAATTCTTTCATTATGATTTTTCATTATGACCTTTGACAATCACTAATTATACTGGTAAAAAATCAGAAAATAAAAAAAACAAATTCTAAAAAAGCTCGGAAAGTATAAAAATAAACATAAAGTAAAATAGACACACAAGTGTAAAAAAGAGGGTTTTTAAATAGAATTAAGTTGTTTTTTAACTGATTCAAATTCTTTTTTTTTTTCTTTTTCTTTTTCTTTTTTTGCTAGAATTGTATCATATCGATATCATATAATATCTATATCTAAGATATATAAAAATGGCGGGTGTAAAAATTTTCTTTTATAGATTAAAAGGAAATTTTGGCTGCTGATCATATGCATTAATGTAGCACAAAATACGATATATAGTAAAAATAGAATATCTATATAAACATAAATAGTAAGGAGGATTATACTGTATAAACAAATTAGATAAAATAAGCTGATCAAAATAGAATATTGTTAAATAACTATGTGTAATGTAAGGAAATTATATGTTATTAAAATATCATCAATTAATTATGCTTAATTACTACTTTGTTATTATAACAGGAAAACGAAAGCCTATTGTCTCAAACTTTTGATGGAGTTATAGAAAACATTTTATACTTATGTACATTCAAAGATTCTGAGAAATGGGTAACTATTTGTAACCTTAAATCTTTTAAGCAAAATGTATTTTGTTATTAATAAAAAATTTATTATAATAGGGTGAGGATGGATGAAAAAAAGTCTCCATATATATAATTTCCAATGGTCGTAATAATATTAATAAATGCGCTTTAGATTATTTGACAACTCTTGGTGTCTATTAAGATGGTATTGCAAAGCCTAAAGTGAATAATGAAGCTGTTCAATCTCATATTTATGAGTATACAGTGTCAGTCACTATCAATAATTCAGTTAAAGAAAATAAAATTGTATCAATTTAGATACTCTTCTGTCATAAAATTAGGAAAGATGTTGACTATATCAATTCTTATTGATAGTTTTTTGATGTTTTTTGCCCAATCCTAAATCCTAAATTATGTGTTCTTACCAAAGCTGGTATTAAGCCAGGTTAAAAAATTTATTTATAATTACTACTTTCTGCATACCTTACATAGCAAGATCATCACTAAAATACTTTAAGTAAATGTGTTCACAATAATGAATTTTATTTAATGTGAAAAAGTGAATATATAGTATAAATATATTTTTAAAAAAAATTTAATTACTGCGAATATATTTGATTAATTTATTTGCATTGTCACCTATTATTAATATAAACACTCATATTTCTTGCACTTTAATATTTTTTAAAAGACTATAAATCTATTTATTACTTATGAAAGGCATTTTTAAATCCTCAAGTTACTGGTGCTTGTGGTAAAATAGATATTATAAAGGATAGAATCAGAACCAATTTTCCAAATCTAATTATGGGTGCTCAAAATTTCAAATATAAAATATCTGATATATTGAATAAGCCATTCGAGTCTTTTTTTAGTCATATTGCTTCTTTACCTAAAAATTTATATGCATATCAGTATTCTGCACTTCTGGATATTAAAGATGACGTATCTTACCAAATGTAATGGCCTTTGTTTTGAATTGATTATAAATTGTAACTATACTTGGACATTATATTTTGAAAAGTTTTCTTAAGCTAAAACAATAGATCCTGAGAATTTATCTGATCTGATTTATCAAGAGATTCTTCAGATAAATATATATTTCTTTGCTAATATTTATGCCATTACACATTTTTATCATATTTGAAAAAGTAAAAATTCTATTGTTCATATAATTTGTTTACATATTAAAATTATTTATGATATTTGTAATTTTTTTCTTTCTTGGTTTGCTTTAGTAAGTAAATTCTTTATTAATTTTTTTATTTATATAGTATACATTTTTAATGATTCATTTGTTATTCTCTAAAGCAACTTTTTTTCAATCCACTTCCTTTTGGAAAGAATTTCTTTAATTGATAATTCATTTGTCATCTGGAGGAGATCTGCAAAATTTTATAAGTAAAATTTACTATTGGCCCAAATGTGGCATGCATGCATCTAAAACCTTTTTTTTATACTAAGTTAATCACTTTTCTAACTTAAGAGACTTTTGTAGAGCTTGTCAAGACGTATCTAATGGCGGTTAGAGCATCAAAATCGGCTTGGTGGGTGCTGAGATATCTTTAAAAAATGTTTCTTTTATTATATAAACTTCTTTGCAAACAATAGTATTGTTTGCAAAGATATCTTGGCACCCACCAAGCTGATTTTGATGCTCTAACCACCATTGGATGCGCCTTGACAAGCTCTACAAAAGTCTCTTAAGCTAGAAAAGTATTAACTTAGTATAAAAAAAGTTTTAGATGCATGCACGCCACATTTGGACCAATAGTAAATTTTATTTATAAAATTTTGCAGATTCCCTCTAGGTGACAAATAGATTATCAATTAAATATAATTTTTATAGATCTTTATTTGAGGCTCTATATATAAGCTATTCTATATTAATTTTTTTTCACCTTATTTTTGCAATAATTGATAGGCTTTTAAGTCAAATTTGTTTTTTTAATATGTTGCTTCTTAATGTATTTACTAATACTTAATGATTTGTAGATTTAAATAGCATGAAATTATACCTTTTATATTTTTGTTATAATTGTTACTTACTTGATATTTTGTTGTCTTTAGAGCATGTTATATAATTTTCTTTCTTGCGATAGCTTTAATTATAATCCTTCTAGCTTTAAAATTCATTATCTTTGTGATAATTATTATAACTATAATGATTATGATCTTATTCTTAAATTTAGTTTAATTTTTTCTTTAATTGCTGCTTATTTTATATATTTTATTGCAAGCTTGCTAATGTTAGATGCATGGTATATACTTACTTGTATTATACCATATATTTTGTTATCAATATTTTATTTTAGTATTTTAAATATCATTATTATAAAACACATCTATGGTAGTTTTGCACCTATTATATGTTTTTATATATTTTTCCAAGTTTTTGTAAGTTTTTTATATAAAATTTTTGGCACAAGTTTTTCATGTTATAGTTAGTATTTAGTGCTAGAAATAAGGATTAGGAGGGTTTTTGAAGATGTAGAGCATTTTACTTAGAATATCAAATATTAATTCATTAGTTAGTTTTTAAAATAATGCAATATAGATAGTAAAACACCATAGGCACATTTTAGTAAAAGTGTTTAAATATTTATGCGTCTTTGAATATTCATTACAGGTAATTTAAATTAAATACTTATTCTTATTTAGTTTGTCTCATTATAACTAATTTTTTTTATATATTATTTAGCAAAAATAATCATCTGGAATATTCTTTTAAAAAATTATCATTATGGGTTGTGTTTTTATAGATTTCTACCAACATTTATTAACAATTTTTACTTTTCTATTTCTCGAAGATCTAGATTTTTCAATAATTTACATATTATTTATTCTTTGGTCTTTTGCTGGGCTTAATGTTTTTAAAATTTTTGGTTGCCTTGCATATTCATTTAATTATTATAAAAAGTAGTTATATTTAAAAATACATTTATAGGAGGTATTATAGTTCTTAAATTAATCACACATTTAACGAAAAATAAAAACCAAAAATGTAAAACTTTTTTTAAAATAATAACAAAAATAAAATCTTCAATTGACTGAAATTTTAAAATTTTATTTTGTAAAAGAATTTTTAACGAAATTGTTATAAATAACACTTCAGATAATCAAATAATTGAACAACAACTCAATAATTAGCAAGTCATATAGGAGGAATAATTGAAAACAACATTTTTTATTTGATTGTAAAATAGCTAAATTAATTGATCAAATGTAGTTAAATATAGTAAAATAGATCGATCAAAAAAAGTTAAAGTTTGACAAACACTTTAACTAAATGATCAATGTTAATTATCTTGATACCTAAATGCCTTACTATTTAATTAGTGTAAACAAAACAAAGTTAATGTTGTACAAGAATAATATTCATGAATTTAACCTCCCAATTAATTTGGATGGAATGAATACTTAATTATTTGATAATTAATATGAATGGGCTATTTTGTGTGGATCTCTAGATTTTTAATATATAATAAATGTCATGGCTGATACTGAATTTTAGAGTCTCTTTGCAAATTGATGCGGCTTTTGATAAAATTTGTAGATCGCTGCTTGTTTACTAATTTCTAGCCAGAATTAACTTTTTAATTTTTTCATTACAAAAGTAGAAATTCTTAAAAAAATAAGGCCGTATTATGATAAAATTGGCCCAGGAACAATTTTCACTTAATGATTTTATTAGTCCGCCTAATTTTTTGATCGTCGCTCGGCAGCTAAATCGACGCTGCGCCCCTCCAGGCTCACATGATCATTAACACATGCATATCTATAATTATCTTCTAGAAATCTTTGTTATAGGTCCTCGCTATAAAATATTTATTTAGTATGTTATGTGAATCAGGCTTTTTTTAGTCGAGCATATTGGTATATATAATATGTGAACTACTAAAACCATCTGCAATTTTTCGGAAGTTTGCTTCAATTGTTTTCCTAACCTTGCTCGTATTTGATTTTATACTAAATCAACTACTAGCAATGACTTTTTTATATTTTATATACGCGAATCTAATCCGGTGTGGTGATCTTTTTTTTGCGAATTATATAAAGTCGAGAACCTCACAAGACTTTATAATAATTCGTATCTATGATAAGTCAGTCACATTTATATTGATAGTAGTATTCGAATATTATTATGGCAGGGACATATTTTAGAGATTTCCCGGTTCTGGGGAATACGTCAAAATACGTTGGGTGGATGGTTGGCCATGAAAACCCTTTTAAAATTTAGAGGTTTTTTTAAACTTTTAAGGCAATATTTTTCGATGAATACAGTAAAACTTTTTTATTTAATTCTATAAGTTAATAAAATTAAAATAAATTTTTTTTATCAAATTTAGTTGGATAGTCATTGAGAAATCTTCGCTTAAAGTTTGAAAAAAAGGTTAAAAATCAAAAGACCGTAGTAAAATTTCTTTCTTAGAACTTAAGCGAAGAATTCTCAACGATTATCTAAGCAAATTTTATGAAAATTTTTTTATTTTAATTCTACATGTCTATAGAATCGAAATAAAAATAAATTTATCGAATTTTGCTATGTAGTCACTGAGGAATATTTATTTATTGTTTAAAAAAAATTTTGCCGCAGCTTCCTTTTTATAGGCACAAAATCTTTAAGCAAAGTTTTCTTGATGAATATCAAATCAAATTCGATGAAAATTTATTTTGATTCAACAAACACGTAGAATTAAAATGAAAATATTTTCATCAAATTTGGTTAGATAATCATTGAGAAATCTTCGCCAAAGTTGAAAAAAAGGGTTACTACAGTTTTTTTCAATTTTTTCAGATTTTTAACCCTTTTTTTCGAACTTTGAAGACGTTTTCTCAATGCCTATCTAATTAAATTTGATACATTTTAATTCTATTAACTTATAGAATTAAAATAAAAAAATTCGCTGAAATTGGTTAAGTATTTATCAAGAAATATTGGCTTAAGTTTTAAAAACCTCGAAATTTTAAACGAATTTTCATGGTTAGCCATCCCCGATGTATTTTGACCCGGAATTTTAGGCGAGACCAATTTGATTCAGTGGTTTACGTTACCCCCCTTCTGCCTTCCCCTCTCACTATATACGCAGAAAATTTCAGAAATTTTTATAATATTGTGGATCATTTCGGAGAAAAAATTTATGATAAACTCCCTCCAACCCCCTCCCCCTCTTTTTTTATAAGTAAGATGTAACGTAAACTACTAAATTAAATTGGTCTCGCCTTAGAGAAAATGTGTACTGGGTTGAGTTCGAATGATAGTCCGGATGATGGTCCAGCAAATGTTTTCGAATTTTTACTTTTTTTTTTACTAAGACTTATTTTCAATTATAGCGATAATATAAAGTATATAATATTTAATGCAATTTACAACGCATATCTAATGCATAGAATAATACAAATAAACT